CAGCAGGACAATAGAAGCATTTCTTTTACTAAGATGCAAGCAAGCTTAAGCAACTTCTCCCAGGGTCCCCACCCCCCCAAACCCACTCTCTACACACGGATTTCCCTTCCCAACTCTATGAAGAAAAGGGTGGTTACAAGGAACACATTCAGGTTTCATATCATTTTTATATACGTACACATATATTCAGATGCAAGGCACTCTAATTACTGGGAGCAGGGTAGGGGGCTAGTTTTAAAAAAAAAAAAAAAATCCTTGATGAACCTGACTTTTCTGAAAAAAGTCAAAATCTGCAACACAAGCACTGCAGCCATTGGCAGAGCTTCAAATACCTCAGATTTTTACAAAGCCCTTTATCCCTTTGATGGCATATTCGATAACAGCTTTATCTCATTTCATGTTAGAAAGAAAGAAAAGAGAATGAAAGAAAGGAAGGACTTGTACTTCCAACAGAAAATACTTTTAACTCTGCTATTGTACTTTGTAATACTATCTCCTTAAAAACGCAGACTTGCTTTCACCCTTTTGCCTCTCTAGCCCTCAATACTCCAGAAGTCACAACTGACAGAGGAGGCAGGTAGGAGGCAGCACAGGACATTTCAAGAACACATGGCTGCCTGCAGCACTTGGCCATAGGACTACAAAGTGGGTGTCTACACTACAACTGGAGAAGGAATGCTTTTGGGGCGGGCTTTCCCCCCAAAAAGTCCAGGCCCTCCCAGCAACCAGTCCTTATCTGACTAGGAAGGGCCAAGCTTTGGAGGGAGCGGGAAGTCTACGCATGCTTCCACCTCGCCAGCAGCGATAGCGACAGAGGATAGGAAACAAGATTCACCCCTCCCCTGCGTGCACGTAAGAGCCCTCCTCCCCTCGCAAAAATGACCTTAGGCATCTAGGTTAGGATGACTGGATTTTCAAAACTGCTGAGCATCAACATATCCCAAGGCAGTCGGTGGGAAACTGTCTGCTCAGCGCCTTTGGAGAAGGGGAGGGGGAAAAAACAGTTTTGTTTCCTAGGTGATCTCTAAATATAAGTTTTCAGAGCATAAATTTGGGAGTTTTCAGCTTTCGTACCATAGCATCCCAGAGAGCCACCTCAAAAGGCAGGCTGTTGTGCGTGCATAAGAGCCCCCCCAGACCAGTCATACTCAGCTTTTGCTTGCCTGCACACAGCACTGCTAGGCACAAAACAACGCACCTCCTGCCATCCAAAGCCATAGTAGTCTTCTATGTCCAGAAACCCTATGGCCCTGGAGCCTGCATCTGCGGGTCTGTCCTGGCTGGTGGCTGTTTTAGAAAGATGGTCCTCAGTTTCTGTGCAGTGAGCAGAGGACTCCTCTGCAGAGCTGACCATATATATCAAAGCTTCAACCCTCTTGAGCACCCCAGAAGAAACAAGCAACACTGAAGGCTAAGCAAGTGTTCTTTACATGACCAACAAAAAAAGCAGGCTTCAGCTAAAGAAGGGGTCACCCGTCCTCCATCTCACCACTCTACAAGGCTGACCAGTATTTGCGAGTGGATGATGCTGGGAAAGTGCCTGGCAAAGAGCCCCGCCTCCCTGAGCCATCAAGTTTTGCACACAACTAGAGGGAAGCCAGAATCTCTGGACCGCAGAGGCAAGTAGCCAGGAAAAGGTGCGCTGTGGGGAAGAGTGGGTGAAACAGACCAAAAGCTAAGGCCAGGCTTCTCTCAGTCTTCAGCTTCTAGAGTCGGCAAGAACCTCAAAACATAGCAAGCTTCCCAGGGAAGCTGGCAACTAGTTCACCAAGAGCAGCAACAGCAGCTCCCATCAACACCAAGCAGTGCAGCGAGATTTTCCCTTGGGAGAAGCAGGAAGCCTTCCCAAACACGCTCCAGGGAAGGAGGCCAGCTATGACACACACTTTTCACACGGGATCCCTCTACAGCCCCTAACCCACTGCTCTTTTGGCTTAAGCCCAAGACTTCACTGGTTAGGAAAAAAAAAAAAGAAAAAAAAAAAGAAAAAAATGAACTTCTGACCTTCTAAGTCTCAAGAGACTTATTCATGCCGTAAAGTGCAGAGATACTGGGTTTGCTTCCCTGACCCATTTAGATCCCCCTCACTGCACATCTGACTTTCAAATTTAACAGGCTGTGCATTGTGAGCCCCAGGGAACAAAAACAAAAACACCACCACATTTTACTCATTTCTGTGCTTCGGATTCCCGATACTCTTGCCAAGATGCCTGCTCCCTCCCCAATCCTGGTCCCTTTCCCCCTGCACAAGAAGTTAGAGCTCGGCTCACTAGGGCCATCTCAACCAGGACTGTCCAACAGAGGCAAAGCCAGAGCAGGCCACGCACTCACCGGCCAGGCGAAGCTGAAAGGGATAACAATCCGGTTCTTTTCATTATTCCGGTTGTACTTTAAATTGAAGGTATTTCCTCCGATGACGGGAGTGGATTTGGATCCGAAGCTGCAAGGACCACCAGCAGTGACCCGCGATTGATACTCCTTCAGGCAAACTTTAAAATAGGTATCACACTCGTCTCTGGTGCATTTTCTATCTCCTGGGTTTCGGGTGCCATCACAGCAATTTCCATTTTGCAGTTCACCATTCACATTTTGCATGGATAAGATCTCCAACTCGAACTGTCCTGATGCTAAAGTCACCTGTTAATCCCAAGAAAGAACCGGAGGAGAAAACAAAAAACAAAAGAAAAAAAAAAAACAAGAAACAAGAAACAGACAGTTACCTCACTTTTTTCCCCAAACGCAATCTACCACAACTCTGCAGACAGGAGAAAGTCATTTTAAGTGTGCTTGCAAGAACCACACACATAATATTAAAACAAACAAACAAAAAAGTAACCACTCCAAGCTTTTCCCTATCAGACATCCATGAGAAAGGGTCATAAGTCATCCCAACCAAATAATGGCACTAATACTAAAAACGAACCTTAAGTGCCAACTCCAGAAAACACTGTGTGTGTGAGGAAGGCTTCTAAATCGTTAGGAAATAAAACTAAACCAACCCAAGAGTGCATACGCAAGGACAAACCCAACAAAACGATGTATCTACAGCACCCTGGCAATGCAACCCCTCTGCCTTCTCCGCGGTGCAGCTGAGACAGGGAAAACAGCCTCCCCGTTCAAGGCTGCCCAGCTGAGATTCAGACCTTGCTCATTAGTCACCCCAAGAGTCCTGCAATTAGCCCTGTTTTGTTTTTTTTTTTTTTTTTTAAATAAAAAAAAAGGAAAAAGAAAAAGGGAAAAAAAGTAATTTCGGAAAAAAAGCGGTTTGCAGTAATTGCGTTTTTTATTCCCAGTGAATTAATTCTTGCTGCAAGGAGGACTTCTGCGTTTGCCATCCCCGCAGAGAAGTTCGCAGCGGTAAGTCCACTCCCGCTGGAGGAGCTTTGCAAAAGCGCCCCGTGCACCACTGCAGGTTTGGGTTTGTTAACAGCCACCTACCGCAATCACTGCGGGAGCCGCGTTTCGCGGAAAAGCGGCAAAATTACCGCAATCCGCTCTGCGCGGCGGACCCGAGAGCCCAGTTCAGCCTGGCTGAAGCTTCCCCCCCTCCCTCCCTCCCTCCCCTCCTGCCAGGGGCCGCAGCCCGGCAGGACGCGCCGTGCCCGGGGAAC